GAAAGAAAGAAAGAAAGAAAGAAAGAGAGAGAGAAAGAAAGAAAGAAAGAAAGAAAGAAAAAAGGGAGGGAGGGAGGGAGGAAGGAAGGAAGGAAGGAAGGAAGGAAGGGAAAGGCTGTCTCAGATTCCCTTTTGCTGTAGCATAAGCACCTGCCTCTGGTAGCTTATGAGGAAGGGGATTCATAGCCCCCACATACTCTAACCCCAGAAACTCTAATATATAACCAAAAAGTCTGATCACTGGTAAAAGGTCAAAGTGGCTTAAGCAGGCAACAGTTGACTTGACCTCAGCTTCAACAGGGTACTTGAAAAGCAGGAAGGAAAAACCTACATGTCCCTCGAGGGATGCATGGGTAAACAAAAGGTGGTATATATATGCAGCGCAGTGTTATTCCATCCTGAAGAGGATGCATGAACCCAGAGGACATTATGCTAAGTGATATAAGCCAGTCACAAAAGTACAAATACTGCATGACAACACTTACATGAAAATAGTCAGACTCACAGAAGCAGAGAGAGTAGGAAGGTGGTCACCAGGGGCTGAGGGGAGAGGGAAATGGGGAGTGTGTTGTTCAATGGATATGATGTTTTAGCTATACAAGATGAGTCAGTTCTAGAGATCTGTTGTACAACACAGTGATGACGGTTAATGGTACCGTATGTTACTGTATTGAAATGCTGTACTGAAAACTTGTTAAGAGGGTAGTTCTCATGTTAAGTGTTCTTACTAATAAAATAAAATAAAAGGAGCAAGGGAGAATCACATTGACAAAAAGTTGAGATACCTGTGTTCTAGTTTTATCTTTGACATTAGCCCAGTGTGGGATTTGGGACCCTTGCTTAACTTTTAGGGGTCTCAGTTTATACAGCCTTTGAAAGGAGTCTGGGGCAAGATGATTTCTAGGGATCTTATGAATTATATGAGACTTTTCTTCCAGGATATGATTTTGCTCATGAAAACTTTTATTTCAGTGTCTAGAATAAGGACATTAAGAAGGAAAAAGATGGGGCTTCCCTTGGTGCAACAGGCAACTAGGCAGCCCTAAATCCTAACTTACTCCATAATGTTGGACACATTTTTTAGACTCTCTGTGCCTTAGTTTCTCCATCTGTAAAATGGACATAAAGCACTTTCTCTGAATATAACATAAGAAATAGTCGATCACTGCAAAAATAATAGTAACAAATGCAGTATGAGTATATACCATCTAATTCAAAATCAGTGATTTTGGTCTTTGCTTAATGTCACTTCCACAAGAAGGCCTTTCTCCATCTCCCACGTCAGGTCATTGTCCTGGTGCCCACAGTGTCCTGCTGTTTTCTGTATTGACACTCCTCACCTGTCCTTGCACCTGAATCTCCTCTTCCATGACTAAGTCACAGTCAGAAAGCTCCACGGAGTTAGAGACTCAATTTTTTTCTCCATTTGCCTCTTTATATTCAACATGAAGCATACTACTTGGCCTTCAGTGAGTTTCCACTGGATGGATGGATGGATGGATGGATGGATGGATGGATGGATGGATGGATGGATGTCTTTGACATTTTAAATTTTCCTTTGGCATTTTATTCGTTGATAGCATGAAATTTACCAAGTAGTCAGGAGGCCTGGTATTTTGGAAGGGCCACTGTTCTGCAGTGCTAAGCAGTAGATTCTGAGTCGTTCATTACCACCACTCAGTTGAACGAATGCAAACAAGCTTCTTCTCTCTAAGCCTCAGTATCCCAACCCAGGGGTAGATTAGATCCCTTGCATCAGAATCATCACCTTCTGTATTTATTAAAATGTGGATTTCTAGGCCACAGTCAGTCCAAGGAGATTAGGAAGTTGGAATCTGGAGGTAGGAGGACACAGAAAAGTCCCAGAATTTGCCTTTCCTCAGTGTCCTCAGTGATTCACTCGCCGAGCCTCAGAGCAGCTGCAGCAGAGGCCTAAGACTTCTCCAGCTCCGTGGGACTGGGATTGGGAACTCGTATTTCTCTCACAGACAATTTTCCCTTCCCAGTGTCTGGTCTTGGAGAAGGGAGGAAGGAGAAAGGTGTGGAGTTTCTGGCCACCACAGGTAAGTTCCTCTCCCTCACCCCTGGGGTGGCCCAGGCTGCTAAGCAAATTCTCCTTCTCTGGACCTCTATACCCCTTGCTGTGAGGACATCACAGCACCTCTCTCTTTGTCTGAACGTTAAGTAAAAGTTGAAAAAGACAATGTCTGTAAAAATATGAAGAGGAGTATCAGCAACTATTTTCACCTATCAACAGTTATTTCCAAACCTTATAGCGGGAGAGAGGGGATTTTAATCCAGTGATGTCTCTCCACTCTGTGACACTCTACAAATACCTGGTTATTCTCGCACACCAAACTGATATCCGGGTCATATCCCAGCCCCCATTAAGTCTGAATCTCTGAGGATGAAGCCCATGCATGGGGAATTGTGGAATTTAAAATGTACTGATTTCCAGGTGATGTCCGTGCTCATCCAGGGTTTGAGTCCCACTCTTTCACAGTGTACTTGTATTCAGATATGGAGAATGTCTGTGATGTCCTTAGGGTTCCTGTTACAGATGAGACATAATCCACTAACACCTACTCTCTCCAAAAGCAGACAAATTAGTCACTCAAAATGTTTCCTGTAGTTCATTCAACCTCTCGCATTCACATTTGTCATTATGTTGACTGTTGTCTTCTAAGGACAGGACCTCCCTCTTGACTTCAAAGCCCTTGTGTCTGGCACTTAGTGTGTGTTCAGCACATGTCCACAGAGGAAGTATATCTGCCTGAAATTTGGAAATGAGGAACATTTTCAGTTGCTGAGAAAGGCCTGCCGGTGACATTATCTTTGAATCTCTTTCAGAGCTGCCTGCAAGATCAATCGATCTGTCTGCCCTAAACCTGACAGAGCTCGTGAATGGGATGCTAAGCAGAGCTTTAAAAGGTGACCATTTTAAAAAATTGTAATCCAGGCCCATTTTAGTCGTGTAGCCGCCTCTCTTCGCAACTTCTTTGTGACCTGGATGGGACACATGGCTTCTCTGTGTCCCAATATCTCTGTGTTCAGGATGGAGAACACATCATCCTACCTAACTCATGATAAGATTGAACAGATCAAAATGAAGAAGAAGGTTTATAAGCATTTTGGGTGCAAACTGCATTTCAAATATAGTATATGTGAAGGCATTTGTAATCAAAACTATTGGCATAAACTAACAATAATTATTCATTAATTTAATGTGATTTTGGATTTATCTCTTCAAGACAAAAGAAGTTCTACTGCAAGCTAACGATATTAGTCCAATCTTCTTTTTTTTTAAAATTTAATTTATTTTTCGAGTTGGAGTCTCACTGCCGCCCCATACTGGAATGCAGTGGCATGCTCGTGGCCACGGCAGTCACAACTCGCTGGGCTCAGATGATCCTTCTGCCTCAGCCTTCCAAGCAGCTGGAACCACGGACATGCACCACCACACCCTGCTAATTTTTGATTTATTGTAGAGATGTTGCCCAGGCTGGTCTCGAATCCCTGGGCTCAGGCAATCCTCTCTCTTCCACCACCTAGAGTTCTGGGATTACAGGTGTGAGCAACCGCACCCAGTCCGATCTTCTATCTATGCTCTTTAGCTTCTAGAAAAACGATTTCTATGTAGTGTGTGCCTAATGAATAACAGAAAAACATGTAAAACCACTAGTGTGCATTCCTTATTTCATTAATCATACTCCACTTTGCTCAGTAGATATTTGGGGAGAACCCATACATGCCAGGCGCTATTTTAAATATTAGGGGGTAAAGCAGTGAACAAAATCCTGGGCCTAGGGGAGCTTCCATTCCAGAGGGTGAAGGGGTAATAGAAAGCAAGCACTAAACATAGTACATAGGTAACGATAGGTGCTTTGTAGAGTAAGGCGGATGGAGAATCCTACTTCTCAGGACCTCTGTATTTCTCTGAATCCCAATTCAGCATTAAGGTCCACGTGTAGGGCATTCCCTAGGATTGTGCAGTACACAAACTGTATTGATGGCTCTATACTTGTTCACATAGTCATTTATTCATCAACATTATTTGAAGGGTTATCGATCCCATTCCAGATACAGCCCTGCCTCCACTTTGCTCACACGAGAGTTGCCATCACTACGGCTGCCTTGGAGGGTGCATGATGAGATGGCGGGGGTCTACCTGTAGTAGGAACTGCGGAAAGACTGAAGCATTAGTTGGAGAGGTGGGCTGTATAAATATGGAGTCCCCCAGCCCTGAACTCCTGTTAATCCTATCCCTTTCTCCACAAGGCCTTGTGCTGGGCTCTGCAAAATTTCGCTATAACCCTTCCAATGACTCAGTTAATCCTAGACTAACCCTATGAGCTTATGCTCACACTCCCAATTTACAGATGCAGAGATGGAGCATGCCCGTTGCCATGCAGAATTGGAATTCAGGGCTGTTTAATACAAGTCTGTAATCCAGCCCAAAGTTTTCCAAACTTGTTGCATAATAAGAAAAACCTGAAGTGCTTATTAAGTACACAGCTCCTAAGATCCCTGGCCTGGAGGTTCTGATCTAGTGAGTCATGAAAGGGACCTCAAGGGTGCATTTTTACCAAGTGCTATTGGTGATTCTTATCATCAGAAAACTTGAGGAAACATTACTAGAGGGTTCAAACTTTGGTGCCTACCCCATCCTTCTTCCTGCGTATAGGAATTTATAAAATAAGACCCTGGGTCCCATCCAACTCATGGCATTAGGGTCTCCAGAGGGAAGGGATTCAAGGGGGAAGGGGTGCCACCTTTAATTTGGATGTGAAGTGGAATGGTTCTGTCATTGCAGCCACCATCTCAGTGGGTCACAAATTTAGATGAATAAAAATCACCTTAGCCAGGCATGGTAGCACACGCCTGTAGTTCCAGCTACTTGGAAGGCTAAAGCGGAAGGATTGCCAGAGCCCAGCAGGTCAACAATGGGGTGGCTGTGAGCATGCCACTGCACTCCAGCCTGGGCAACAGAGTGAGACTCCAACTAAAAAAAAAAAATTACCTGAGGACTTAGTTAACATTAAAATTCAGAAGCCCGGGCAAAGCCACCCCTCCCCTTTCTCCATAATCTTCAAAACAAAAACAAAAAATATAATCTAATTTAGTAGATCTTGGGTCACTCCGTGGAATGTGCCTTTCTAACAAGTACACCAGGTGAGCTGACACAGGTGGATGATTTTCAGACCATAGTATGGGAAGACCTTTTTTCCCCCACAGTCTCCCAGATATAAACCAAGAGTAGGCATGGATTAAGTGTAGGTATCAGTCTCACTCATCTGTCCCTAAACCTGATTATATTAATACTCCTGGCAAAAAAAAATTCCCTTTCTTTTGTGTAGCAGGCTGAAAATAATCACCCAAAGATACTCACTTTATAATACCAGAACCTGTAAATGTCACCTTACCTATCAAACAAGTGAGTATCTCCTCATGTAATAGAAGATGCGATTAAGTTAAGGAATTTGAGATGAGGAGATTATCTAGGATCATCTGACTTGTGCCAAATACCATCACAAGGGTCCTTATGAGAAAGAGACAAAGAAATGACAATGCGAAGACAGGACAGAAAGAAATGTGATCACAGGTTCGGGATGCAGAAAACCACCATGGCTGAAAAGAACAGTGTCTCCCTTCAAGTCCCTAAGGGGAGTGTGTCCCTGCCGAATTTCAGAAGTCTAGCATCTAAAACTGTAAAAAATAAATAAATGCCTAGCTTCTAGAAATGTAAAAGAATAAATTTCTGTTGTTTTAAACCACCAAGTATGTGGTAGTTTTTTACAGCAGCTGCAAGAAACTAATACATAACCAGTTGCCATGGCTTAATTGGGAAATACAGCCAAGTGACACACACTTACTGGGTTTTTTAGTTTAATTTTATATTGTATATTATTTTTCTTTTGTATTATTTTGTTGTTGCTGTTGTTGCTTTTCATTTAGTTGTATAGTTCATTGGTCGTATTATCAATTTCTTACATCTGTTTGCTTATTTGCAACACTATTGATTTGTTGTTAGGTTAGTAGGCATTTGTCTGTTTCTTCACCTGTGTCTTTTTTGCAGACAGCAAAAGGTTCTTCTCCTTGCTAAGTGTTACTTCCTACAGCTCCTTCGCCTTCTACAAGTTTTCTGTGGCCATTTACAACAGTGAGTGCTGGCTGACTTCTCTTAAGGGTGGTAGCGGTGGTGATGGGCCGCAGAGTCAGTCTGTGTGTCAGAATCTCTGTGTCAATGCTTCCTCTTCACAGTTTCTAACCTGAAGACGGTGGATCCAGCCAAATTCCCCACAAGGTACTGCTACTGCTTAAACAATCGGACCAATGACTTATCAGGTGGGTGTGGCTAACCATGAGGCTTGTGGCTTTTTCAGTTTTGCTTGTGCCCTTTTAGGTAAGTTTGTATCTTTTTTCTCCCTCAGAATAAGAGAGGAAACTATGGGGATATCTATTACACTTAAATATGTGCACATTCATTATCCCAGATAGCTCCTTTTTTGGTTTTAGCCTAGAAAAATCGTTGTCTGTGCACAAAGGAACAAAAAGAAAATGTTCCAGAAGTAATGTGTTAATGGTTAAATGAGGGAACAACCTGAGCATCCTCATTAGGAAAATGATTAAATGGTCCCCTCCAAAATCAAACTTTGGAAAATAGTTACAGATAATACTTAAGTAAATGAGTGTCCCCAAATTTGGCCTGTGCTTGGAAAAATTTCCAAGAGATTTTTAATTTAGAAAGAGAAATTTACAAAATAATATAGAGAACACGATGTTATTGATTTTTAAAAATACATATCTGGGCCAGGTGCAGTGGCTCACTCCTATAATCCCAGCACTTTGGGAGGGCAAGGTGAGAGGATTGCCTGAGCCCACTGGTTTGAGATCAATCTGGGCAACTTGGCAAGACCTCATCTCTACAATAAATCAAAAAATTAGCTGGATGTGGTGGTGCGGGCCTGTAGTTCCAACTACTTGGAAGGCTGAGGCGGAAGGATCACCTAAGCACAGCAGGTCGAGGCTGTTGGTGGCCACTGCACTCCAGCCTGGGCAACTGGGAGAGACTCCAACTCAGAAAAATAAAAATACATATCTGGACACCACATAGGTGAAAACCTCTGAAAAGAAGACTAGAGTGTGTATTTTGGAGTGGAGGAATGTTGATTAAGGAAGACTTGTATTAACTGAATTTTTTAAATGAGTGTTTTCACCTGTTTCTTTTATAATTAAAACATAAAGGTACGTGTTCCTTATATTTAGAGACTCTAAAAAAATGGAAGTGGTTATTTTCCTCACTACTAATCCATCAATTCAACAGCTTTTCATTGCATGCTATGAGCCAGTACTCTTCAAGGTATGGGAGATACTACCCTGAGCAGAGCGGACACACCTCCTGCTCTCACAAGTCAGCTTCTTAGGAGGGAACAGTGAGTAAAGAAATAAAATGCAAAGCACATGCTGACAGTGAGGACGGTGAAGCGGGGAAAAGGACAGAAAAGAAAGTCAGGGTCGGGGATACTGCCGTGTGTGGGGTATTCGGAGAAGTCAGCTCTAACAAGCTGAGGGTTGAGGAGTGACATCAGGAAGAGGAGATCTATCCCTGTAGCTCTTGGGGGATGAGGTTTCAGGCAAAGACCCAGGCAGCAGAGTGAGGACCAAAGAGGTGGTGTGGCTAGGGCAGGCAAGCCAGAGCAGAGTTGTAGGAAATGAACTCAGATTGGTGAGGGCAAAGTGGAAAGGTGTTGCAGATCATATAGAAGCTTAAAGTCCACTATAAATATTCTGATTTTTCTCCGCATAAGAAGGAAGCCATTGTGATTTCCTTCAGAGAGAAGACACACAATCTGACACATATATATTTTCTTTATTTTAAAGATGTGGAGTACAATTCAGGGTTAGGGGTACAAATGTTCATTATGCAGATACCCTTGTTGATGAGGTGTACCCCTTCCTCCCCTGGCAGCTTCCCTCAACTGCCAGTCCCACCTCCTTTCCCCTAGCAGTTTCCCACTACTGCCAATCCCTTTCTTATAGTATTATGATAATTGTTCAAGGTCCGCTTATGAGTGAGAACATGTGGTGCTCTGTTCTTTGTTTCTGTGATAGATCACTGAACAATAGAATTTAAATCCATTCAAGTTGCTGCAAAGTCCATGTTTATCCTTCTTTATGGTTGCATAATATTCCATTGTGTATATGTACCACATTTTTTTTAACCAGTCCAGCTTCGATGGGCAACATGGTTGGTTCCATGTTTTTACTACTGTGACTAGAGCTGCAGCAAACATGCGTATGCAGGTATCTTTTTGGTAGAATGATTTGAGTTCCTCCGGGTATATTCCCAGTAGGGGAATTGCTGGGTCATATGGAAGACCAATTCCTAGTTCTTTCAGAAATCACCACACTGTCTTCCAAAGAGGTTGCCCTGGTTTGTATTTCCATCAGCAGTGTAGAGGCATTCCTTTTTCTCCACATCCTAGCCAGAATCTGTTGTTTTTTTGTTTTATTCATGATGGCCATTCTTACTGGTGTTAGGTGGTATCTCAATGTGGTTTTGATTTGCATTTCTCTGATGATGAGTGGGGCTGAGCACTTTTTCATGTGTCTATTGGCTGCCTGTATAACTTCTTTTGAGAAATATCTATCCTTGTCTTTTGTCCGCTTTTTAATGGAGTTGTTTTTTTTTTTTTTTCCTTTCCGCACATTTGAGTTCCTTGTAGATCCTAGATGTTAGGCCTTTGTCAGATAAACAGTTGGCAAATACCTTTTCCCATTCTGTGTACTCTCTCCCCACTCTCTTGATGATTTCTTTGGCTTTGCAGAAGCTTGCCAGTTTGATGAGGTCCCACTTGTCTATCTTATCTCTTATGGCATGGGCACTTGGGATTTTGATCAGGAATTGATTGCCAGTTCCAATTTCCATAAGGGTGTCTCCTGCATTGTCTAAGATTCTTATAGTTTGAGGTTTTATGTTTAGGTCTTTGATCCATTTAGAGTTAATTTTTGTGTATGGTGATAGGTAGGAGTCCTGTTTCAAAGGGATCCCTCTAGTTACTTGTTAAAGATGAGGCTGTAAGGGAAGAAAGTACTGAAGGCAACCAAAGTCTTCTCTTTTTGCCACTTCACCTCAAATTAAACAATGATTTCCATCAATTTAGAAACTCTTTGTAAGCATTATAGTGGCTTCACAACCTACCAATGGAAGCATATTCTTAGCCAGTATGCTGACATTGGACTTTTGGGTTGAGTTCGGTTTTTTCTACTATAAATAATCTTGCATTGAACATCTTTGTGCATAGAGCTTTTTCCTGGTTCAGGTTATTTTCCCCACAAAGTAGAGTTTCTAAAAGATATATTGTGAAATATTAAAAGCAAAAAAGCCTCTAATGTTTAATGAGTACTATATGCCAGACCCCACACTGAATCCTTAATATTCATTATCTTATTTAATTCACCCCGTGAATCTCGTCGACAAAATATGTTGGAAAAGAAAAGGGTTATTCATAATCACATCTTTCTCCCCATTCTATTAACCTCCACTGAGGGTGGGATTTTGTGCTAAGTGAGTCCCTACCTTGGTTCTGTGATAGATAAAAATTTAAAAAGCCACATCTGTCAGAGAAAGTTTACAATCCCGTTCCATGAGCTAAAACATATTTCCACACACTTGAAATAATTATTTGAAGAGAACTGATCTGTGGATTATTATTTACTGATAAAATAACATGGGGCCCCTCTGGTAGGCCACAGCAATTTTCACAAGATTTTTTTTTTTAATTTCAGTAACTTCAGGGGGTACGAATTTTTTTTTGGTTACATAGATGCATCATATAATGGTGAAGAAATCTGGATATTAGGGTATTCATCACCTCAACAAGTACACATTGTACCTAATAGGAGATTTTCATCCCTCCCTCCTCTTCCCACCCTTCTTCTTCTGAGTCTCTAATGTCCATTGTAACATTCGATACGCCTTTGCAGACCTATAGCTTAGCTCTCACTTGTAAGTGAGAACATGCAGTATTTGTTTTTCTGTTCCTGTGTTACTTCACTTGGAATAATGGTCTTCAATTCTATCCAAGTTGCTGCAAAAGATATTATTTTGTTCTTTTTTATGGCCGAATAGTATTCCATGGTATGTATGTGTATGTATATGTGTATATCACATTTTCTTTTCTTTCTTTTTTTTTGAGTTGGAGTCTCACTGTCACCCAGACTGGAGTGCAGTGGCCGCTCCCGGCCACCGCAGGCTCGACCTGCTGGGCTCCGGCGATCCTTCCGCCTCAGCCTTCTAAGTAGCCAGAATTACAGGCATGCACTACCATGCCCAGCTGATTTTTTGATTTATTGTAGAGATGAGGTCTCACTGCCCAGGCGGATCTCGAACCCGCGGGCTCAGGCAATCTGCTCACCTCAGACTCCCAAAGGCGCGGGATTACAGGCTGAATCCCCAAGCCCGGCTAACATTTTCTTTATCCACTGGTCAGTTATGAGTATTTAGGTTGATTCCCCAACTTTGCAATAGAATTTTCATAAGATTTGACAAGTCACAACACTACCATATGAAAGGCTGTCCACTTAGGACAACTTCTTGCCACTGTCCAAAGCCTTTGGGAAAGATGTCTTTGTGGATTCAGATCTGGATTGTTTGCTTTAGAAAATTTTCAGCTCTGACGTATAACCTTCCTTTCAGTGTACATTTGCATGTTTTTTCTAAATAAAAATGATTTAAATTTTTTTGAAAATAATGTACAGTGATGTCAAAATGCTATGCAACATGGACAGGTAACCAAGAAACCAGAAATACCTACTATCCCACCATTTATAGGTCATCACCATTAACATTTTAATGAATGTTATCCAAAGCTCTCCATGCTACCAATGTAGCCCACGTATTTGTCTCACCTGCAAGCTAACTTATCTAACCTACCTGCCTACCCCAGATCATCTATCCATCTATCTAGCCATCCCACTCCACATATAGAAACACATTCTCTGTATTATTTAGAATACAAACAGGGCTGCTATAACAAGTGACTTCAAAATAGGGTGGCTTAAAGAAGGCAGAAACTAGTCGCTTTCATGTGCAATAATCTGGGCAAACATACGAGGGCTGCTTTAGTGGTTTGGTGGTGTGGGGGCCCAGACGTCTTCTCACTTGGTTTTCTGCTTTCCATAAGGAGACTTCTCATAGTACAAGGTAGCTTGCCAACACATCTGCACTCCAGCTCCGATGAAGGGGAGAAAGGAATTGGAAGGCATGCCCATGCCGAACAAACTCACAGCTCAGAAACTTTTCACATTTCTTCCTTCCATATTCGATCACTCAGAATTTAATCTCATGGCAACACACATCGGCAAAGCAAGCTTGAAAATGTAGTCATCGTGCTAACCTACCATGTTCCCAATTAAAAACGTTATGTTTTCTTATTAAAGAAAGATAAAAGAATGGATATTACCACAAAAGCAGCCCTTGTTCAGATTGTCACACACAAAAGTAACTAGTTTCTACCATTTTATGCAATTCTATAATCCATCATCAAACTAATCAATGTCTTCAAAACGGTTCCATTTCCACGAATATAAATATGCCTCATCTTTCATATAAATTCTTAGTATTCATTGAAAGAATGTACAATGATTTATTCAATGTGTCACTTCTTGATGGAAACTTGGCTAATTTCCATATGTTTGCAATTATAAACAAGGTCACAGTGAACACCTGTGTAAAACCACTTGGAGTATGTACCCACTTACCTCTGTAGGGTAAAGCCCTCAATATAGAATTGTTGGCTGACAGAGAAAAAATAACATAGTGATTCAAATGGTTAAAATTTCATCTAGTAGTCTGGGCTCGGTGGCTCAGCCTGTAATCCCGAGCTTTGGGAGGCCGAGGTGAGTGGATTGCCTGAGCCCACGGGTTCAAGACCCGCCCAGGCAACTTGGCAAGACCTCATCTCTACAATAAATCAAAAATTAGTCGGGAGTGGTAGTGTGTGCCTGTAGTTCCAGCTACTTGGAAGGCTGAGGCGGAAGGATCGCCAGAGCCCAGCAGGTCAAGGCTGCAGTGGCCGGGAGCGTGCTACTGCACTCCAGTCTGGGCGACAGAGTGAGATTCCAACTCAAAAAAATTTCTTCTAGTAATTTTGTATAAGTTTATACTCTTATCAACAATGTTTGAACAAGTGTTTTCCATACCCTTGTCAACACTGAGTGTTGAGAGACAATCTTAAATCATTACCAACTGGATAAGTAAAAAGGGGCTTTTTTCCTACCTTCTGTTTATATATGAAGGTAGTCAGATATCATTCATTTTGAGCATTATAAATTAGACAACTCAAATGTTCATTGACATAAAGAATATCTCGTCCAGGCACGGTTGCCCAAGTCTGTAATCCCAGCACTTTGGGAGGCCGAGGCGAGAGAATTGCCTGAGCCCACGGGTTCAAGACCAACCTGGGAAACATGGTGAGACCTTGTCTCTACAATACATCCAAAAAAATTAGTTGGGCATGGCAGAGCATGCATGTAGTTCCAGGTACTTGGAAAGCTGAGGCAGAAGGATCACTGGAGTCCAGCAGGCCAACACTGGGGTAGCTGTGAGCATGCCACTGTGCTCCAGCCTGTGCAATGAAGTGAGACTTCAACTCAAAAAAAAAGAGTATCTCTGAGATAAACATTGTTTTCTTTCAAGCCTAAAAAGCAGATTTGAAAACAGTCTAAAGGGAGAGTTGACAAAATGAACAAGAGTTTGAATGAATAGTGGTAGAAATGCTGGGAAGAGTAGACACTTTGGCCTAAGAGAGACCTCAGCTGAAATCCAAGCTCTGCCACTTACCCTGGGAAATTGGGCAATTTCCATCATCTCTATGAGCCTTGGGCAGAATCTAGGCTCCATCCTTGGTGTCTGGCTTCAAAGCCATACTTTGTAGCTTCTACACAATATTAATAGTGATTTCCAAATTCCATAATTGGTCTATTTTTGAGCCTTCCTTACCCACTATCCTAAGCTTCTTTTGTGTGTCCTGAACAACTCTCCAGTGCCTAGTGGGTGTCTGCAAACACTCAATGAATATTTATTAGATAAATGAAGTAATAATCCAAGGAGAATTTTAAGAAGTAGAAAGCAAATGGGTGGAATAAGTGATGAGATAATACCTTTTCTCAACTTCCACTATGTGACCAAAAACAGACTGGTCTAATGGGACACAGAAATGAGGATGTCCATGTTTGCCCACCTTCTGCATAGGCAGGTGTCTACATCTGTATAGGGGTACTAACATTGCTCCCCTCCAGAAGATTAAAACACATATCTGTGCAGATACAATAAGAACACTTCATGGCTCTGGCTCACACATAGTAGTGCCCGCCTTCTGTTGGTCTTGGCATGCTGCACATTTCATTAATTATCACTTCATGTTTCCTGCTTCTCTGTGTTCTGTATTTTCTAGTCAGCTCGCTCCTGCCCAAGTTCATCATCCTGTTCATGAATGAAAGAAGCATTTATACAAGGCTTGATGAAAATATCATCCAAGCAGCTTCTTTAGGAAATCACTGTTTAGGGATAGATAGAGCATATTCCCCTGGTTCAAAAGCAAAAAACTAGTTGCATCCTGGGAAACCATGAATAAACAGAGAAGGAGGTAGCAGCTGTTTGACTAGAAGTGTGTTAGACACTATCACTGGTCAATGGCATCCACCATGTCAAGGAGTAGCCCTGTTCAAACCCTACTCAGAGAGAAAGTTCACAAAGACTCTATAACCTGAAATGTGAAATTATCTCAGATTCCCCTCCCCATAAGCCCTCTCAACAAAGTAGGCAGAAGGAGAAGTTTCTGGCGATAATTTTATAAAGGGTCTAGTCTCTTTTGATATCTATAGTTTATAACCCACCGTTAAATCTGACATTGCATTTTCAACATCCAAAATGATGCAAATTTATTCTACATGTCTGTGGAACCGCTTCCTATCAGATGGGCTTGATATTCTAAAACAACGAAATGGGATGACAAGGAAAAAAAAAACAGATGAAATATTTTTCAACAATGAGATTTTTGTAGTGCTTGCATGTTGACAGAGTGGAGTTGAGGGAGAGGAGGATGGGAAAATAAAGGGGATTATAACAGTGGATCCAAGAGCTTCCGGACTACCAGAAATTACGACTTTTTCTTTTTTAGAATTAGTAGTATTTCTCTATATGATTGTTGATATTCTTCAATGCACTAAACTAAATCAAACTTGTCAGATATACTCTGAATATTCCAAAGACAATATCCTTTTCTTTACAAGTCTCTGAATAGGAAACTTAAACCTTCTAAATCTGTCTTGCAGATTTTACAGCCCTACTGGTAGATATCATTGGAAATTCTACCAGCTACCTGACAGAGATTTTTAAGTCAACCTCCATCCTCTCAGGTATGTGCCTCTTGAAAATTCTTGGCAAGTTTGAGGTTTGGTGTCCCTCATGTAAGACAAGCAAGCCTAATAAATCCCCCCCACTCTCAACTCCTGCCACAGTCCAGCAGCTGAGAACCTGTGTGTAAGTTTTATTTAGATAACTAATGTGATCCAGTTTCTACACCAGTATTTAAAAGATCCATCTTCCAATCAGAACTAGACCTGGGGTCCAGAAAAATTGGAAGAAAAATCCAAGATTCAAAGTTGGAGGAATATAGGCAGACTCAAGAAAACAACTGACCAATGGCGATACTTCCATCGTACAAATGAGAAAACTAAGAACCAGAGAGGTTGGCTATTTTGCTCGAGGTTGGTGACAGAGCTCAGATTTAAATATATGTGCACCCCAAGCCATGTTTAAGGTACAATTAAGAAAGATACATCTTATTTATAGGGTAGCTTCATGTGATCCCCACTTTGTAAAGTACAGATTTAGTCATCAATCCAACAGCGGGTCTCAGCAGAAAGATAGCATGGTACACTGTGGAGAAGAGGAGGAAAGGAAAAAGAGAAATAATAATAACTATCATTAGACACCAGGGACTCTTCTAAGGGTTCTCCATGTATTCCTTCATTGGATCCTCACTACAGTCTTATGGGATAGCTACCACATTCCTCCCTACGTGACGGGTGATAAACTATGTAACCGAGAGGTTAAGGAACTTGCCCACGATCACTCTGCAGAGACAGAATTCTAAGCCAGGTGATCTAGCTCTTAGCCCATGCTCTTAGTCACTATGCAATGCTATATAATAATGGTGACACATTAATGTTAACAATAATGATTATTCCAGCTGCTAACCATGCTCTTCTGTCTGCCAGGCACCATACTCAGCACTTCATACACATTTCCTCCTAGGGATCTCCTAGGAATTCTATGGTACCTACACACATGGCCCTTTAGGCAATATACTTTGGGACCAATATGTCTAGGAATTCAGAAGTTTTCAGACTTTGGAAGGTCTGAGAAGGTGTCCACACTTGCAAAAGGTAGCACCTCCAGTAGAATCAAGGAAGCCTACTATACTCAAACAAATTACTGGCCATTCTGCAAAATGTTTGGCCCTTTACATTAAGTAGGATAGAGAACAACCATAATAGTCTCACAGTTTTCAAGTCAGGTTTGGCCACCAAATGAGTGTTAGGACCAAACTGACACAAAACATATCATCTTAAAGCGATCTGGGGAATTTGGAGATCATGAGATTTAAATGTTCACCGTTTTAAAGAAGGGTATATTAAGTCTTGGCGAGGTCAAGCAGTTCACTCATGTTTGCATAGCTAGTAAATGGCGGAGCTGATGTTGCAACCCTGGAAACTGACCCCTTGGCCCTTGCCCTATCCCCCGCCTAGTCAAAGGAAAGCAAGAAATCAAAAAATCAGAGTAAGGAGTTAGCTTTGTTTTCATATATCACCCTAAACCAGGTATTTCCAGCTTAATCTTCATTTCAACCAAATGTGTTCAGCTGCAGACCCACGGCTAAGTCTTATTGTGTGCTGGTTTGTCTTACAGTGAGTCAAAGCAATGAATCCGACTGCATCTTCATCTGTATGATGACGGGAAAGTCAGGTGAACCACCAGTCATTTTTTGGCAAGCTCTCTGGGTTGAGAATTAAACACAACTATTGAGTAGGTCGAACCCAAGATTTGATCCTGTTGGTGTGGTGTGATTTTTTGCAGGAAGAAATCTTTCTGACTTCTGGGAGATGGCAGATAAATCCCCTGTTATCAATTATACATTTACCAGCAGCATTTCTGGTGCTCCGGGTGAGTGCAACCTTCCTGAACTCTTATCATACAGTCTCCAGATCAGGGTCCCATCTCTCACACTAAAAATCAAAGGGTTAGCCGGGTTCAGTGGCTCAGCCTATAATCCCAGCACTTTGGGAGGCCGAGACAATTGGATTGCCTGAGTTCGCGGGTTTGAGACCAACCTGGGCAATGGTGAGACCTCATCACTACAATAAATCACAAAAACTAGCCAGATGTGGTGGCATGCATCTGTAGTTCCAGCTACTTGGAAGGCTGAGGTGGAAGGATTGCCTAAGCCCAGCAGGTCGAGGCTGCGGTGGCTGTGAGCGTGACACTGCACTCCAGCCTGGGCGATGGAGTAAGACTCCAACTCAAAAAAAAAAATCAGTGGATTTTGCTACTTAAAAAGGAAACAATTTCTGCTTCTTTTTTTTTTTTGCAAAATATCTGACAACCCTGGATCCCTCCCCCTTCCCAACCCATGCCAATAAGAAACTGGAGCTGATCAGCTACTGTCCCCATTCTCTCATAAGGAGAGACACCGTTTTCCAGTTTTCCACATTTCTTTCTGACCTTTATTGTCTTGCACATTTTTCTTGTATTAATTACTTGGCTTTTATAGATATTTGAATTTTTAACCCTATTCTGGAGATATGACCACTCTATAGTACTCAGCCCCTACCCAACCATTCTCTGTACTACCCCCTACACACACACACACACACACACACACACACACACACACACACACACACACACACACACACCCCTGCAGAGCTTCCTGTCATTTCCCTGTTACCAGATGGCATATTTGAGCCCACCTTGAAGTCCTCTTTCTCCACTACACTTAACTGGCATTTCTAGTTGGATGTTTTCTGGAATCTGGTTGATCCTCTGAGATAACCTCATCGAAATTATCTCAAGTCCTCATCACCTACCTTTGGACTGTAACAGCCTCTGAACAAGTCCCCATTAACACACTCTCTTATTTCTCAGAAATATCCATCCTGTTCCATAAGAGTGATAGTCTTAAAATATGACTTAGCCATGCTGCATCCGCTTTCCACTATCTTGCATTACATTTTCTGGAGGAAGCATCTCAAGATTCCTTGATGACAACTGTCTTAATGCCGTCCATTGCTTTCTTTGCTTTCACAAATATGAGTAAAAGTTCCTTCCTCTGACTGTTCTGTTGTACAACTCAAGTCAATTAGTCCCCTAGAAAGTTCAACATCTTGATTAAAGGAGTTTCCCTGAGAATAGAGACTAGACTCTTGAATTGATCCCTGAGGGCATTGGAGCCTAGAGGTGGGGGACAGGGAGGCTGAGCACTTCTACATATTTCTGGTAGAGAGTGGCCACCCTAAGAAGACACCAATAATAAAGCAATGTTAAATTGTGAGTATAGAGAAAAAAAAATATGACTTGGATTATGTCTCTTGCCCAAAGTTCCTCAGTCAGCAGCAGAGAGTCCAAAATCTTTAGCCAGGAGTATACACCCTCATCTCCTGCTCCCTTTTTCTGTAAATCCTGAACATTGAAATCCTGCCCTCCTCACAGAAGGCACACATCTTCATGCCCTTCAGCATATCCTTGTCCATGCTGTTGTCTCCACCAGGAACACCTTCTCTACTGTTCTGTATTTCAGAACCCCATTTGCCTGTCCATTGCCAGCTCACACACTGCTTCCTAAGGATCCCCCAACCAAAATCAGTCTTTGTCTCCTATGGTCCCACAACCAGCACTTGTGTTGGACTTTTGTGTTACTCCATGTTGTATCTCTTCATTGATGGTACTGGAGGGAGGAGATAGTGTCTCCTTCAACTCCACAACCTGCCATTCCCTAAATGCCTCACAGAGTACCTTACACACAGTAGGCTCTTCATCAGTGTCTCTTGGAGTGGAGTGAAGATCACAGTGAATCTTCAATTCCATTTCAGTGGTCTACTATTTATTGTAGGGAATTTCTTGGCTATGCTATAGAAGGAAACTCAATTTGTGTAGATCTAAGGATTGGATCAATCTCTCTTACTTGGAGAGTCTTTCACGACCTTACCACCCCCATCTCAATTAGATTCCCCCCGCCATGCATCTTCAGTAAGGACAAAAGCATAGAAAAGGAGAATATATTTTCAGACTGACACTAAGGCTGATTTACCTGAAAGCCAGTCACCTGACTGAGTGGTGGTTTGGCTGGGATGTACTTAGCTCCGTGTTGGATTGGTCTGGGGTCAAGACTCAGACTGGTGAGGCATGTGGGGTGTTATGGGCTCCAAAGTAAGTCTGGAGAAAAAAACTGAGACTTCAGGGCCACCTCCTGCAATTGCATAGCTTGAGCCCTACACACAGTTGCCCACCAAAGGGGGATATAGGGTCCGAAGTCCAACACAGACTCCACCTACCAGGCTGCAGGCCAGTCTTTGTCCGTCTGGAGAAAGGGACCCTATGAGCTAGTGGAAGCCTGTCATCCTCATATCCACATGCTTGTCACCATTTAAACCTTCCCTAGAAAAGCTATAAGGCAAAATCAACTCTGAGTATCCTCCTTCTTTTCTTCATGAAGCAACCAAAGCACTGGGTGGATTTCTCTCTGAATTATGCCTTCCTGCTATCTCTGTGGGGACCCATTTTCAAGAAATTTCTGTCTGGAAGTCTCTGATTCCCCCAAATTCCACCTCTGGTCTCTAGTTATACCCACAAGGCACATGGAAGGAGTCTAATCCCTCTTCCATGGACACATACCAGGGCCATGGAGTAGCAGAGGGCTAGAGGCAGGAGAAGAGCTCTGACTGGGGTTAAGAATGGATCAGAAAACATGACAAATTCCTACCATTAGACCTGGCAACTTTTCATTGTGTTCACTGTGTTTCATCACACAGTTTTTTTGGAGACTGATATGTACACTTAATATGTCATTCAAAGTGAGACAGTTCTTTGGTTTCCTTGGTGCTGTTTGGAGTAAGGTTGGAATCTCTGCATTCTATACTTTTGCTGCCCAGTAACCTTTCAGTGGTTCAACAATTTTTTGCTTCCAAACTGTTAAGCATAATTAAGTTACTGTTGACCATCTCCCTGAAGGTGCAGCTACCAAGGAAGCTACCAGGACTTCCAAGCCCACAACCAAAAGTCAGCCAACACCACCAAGTACAAGCCTCCCAGGCTGGGCATCTGCCCTGAGAACCTCTTCCTGGATAGAGATAACTGCTCCTTCAGAAGGAGAGGAGACCCCGAAAACAGGCAGGCATGCTGAGTTTCCCACCAGGACAGCAGCCACATGGAGCAGTGCCTCTCACACCCTGCTAGCCTCAGGTAAGATGATTCCTCACCTTTGTTCTCCTTTGCTGTGTCTTCCTCCTGTCCTCTAGGCTCATATAAATAAAGTCCTTCCTCTTATCTATCCTTTACCACCTGAAGCTGCCCTTCAGTTGACCTTAAATATGAGATCTAGATGAGCTAATATGGACTCCACTAGTTCAAGCAAAGGCAGCAAATATCATTGGCACAATGTACTTCTAACATGTACTTTTATAACTTTTTATTTGGAAATAGTTTAAGATTCACAAGAAGTTGCATGAATGCTACCGAGTTCCCTATACCTGGTCTTCCTCAATGCTAATATCTTGCCTGTAGTACACCGTGGCATAATATATTTTATTTCAACAAAGCATATAGCAATATCTCTCCCAAAATTCACACAAAATGGTAACATGAAGTCAACAGTTTGCGGCATGGTGAGGTCAACCTGTAGCTGGCTGGAAAATGATACCAAGAATGTGTTAATGACTTGAAACTAGTGAGAAAAGCTGTCCCCAAAGGCTTTCCAAGGAGGCTCCTCCCTCCCCAGCATCTTGAGCACATAATCAACAGTGTCCACTGAAGACACAGAAGGCATGCTTGTCCTATTTTTTCTATTTGGAAATAATATGAAATCGAGGCAACTCTTTCATTGAGTCAATATTTATCTCAATGGGTTCCAACAATGGACCAGCCATCAGGATTTGTTTATTCATTCACTGACTCACTCATCAAAACATATCTTTGCTACCAGACACCAGATCAGCTGTTAAAAACTCAGTTGTAGAAATGTTTCCTTTCCTTTCTGAGCTCCCAGAGCAGAGTGGGAGACACAGGCAAATAAGCCAATAGTTATGATTTGGCTTACAAGGACTATGTGTGTAGAGAGCCCAGAGAAGGGCTCCTGCCCCAGCATCATGGGAGACACAGGTTTCCTTCCCCAGGGAGACAAAAATTGATAGAAATCAGGGAGGCAAGAAAACAAGGACAATTGGATGGTGGAAAGAAGAAGGAATCAACTTCATTAAATAGAAAATCTTTAGATTCACTATAAAATATTAATACAATAACATGAAATTATACAAATCATAAAACTTTCCACTGTGACACACACAAAAAAGATGTTTTTGTTGGTGGCAAGAAAAATCATAAAATACTTGCCTCTAACTCTAAAAGGAGAAGCACTAGTTTTCTATTTTAAAAAACTATAAAACTTGAATGCGAGTAATGGAAGAATATTTAAATAAATGAAGGGCCATACCAGGTCCTAGATAAGAAATATGAATATATTAAAGATGGCAACTGTTTCCAACTTAACTTATAGATTTAAAATCCTCCAATAGAATTAGTTTTTGTAACACTTGGAAAAAAATTGTTTTAATTCTACCATGGGAATGAAACAGTGAGGACATTTAATAATTTTTTAAAAGGCCAGTAGGGAAGATTTGTCTTAACTAATAGCAGTTCTGTGATGTTGTAGGGCAGATGTTATTATTAATATCTCCATTTTAATAATAAAGCTAAAAAGAGTTAAGTCATTTGCCCTGAAGTGCACAGTTTTCAGGAGGCAGGGATAGAAATGACGCTTTCAGGTCTCCTCAACTCAAACCCAATAATTTGTCCATTCTGTCACATGATTAGAAATCTATTTCTTAAATTTGACAGACAGTCCACTGACCTCCATACTTTAGCTGATTGGGGATCCAAAAGATTTGGAGGGTTTTGTTTGTTTGTTTGTTTGTTTGCTTTTTAAATTGGTGCTTAAGAAAACAAAGTTTAGTTTGGTCCATTTACTCAGTTCAGGGTAAAGTTTAAGCTCTTAGATGATCTATATTACACCATGCTTTGCAATCGCCCTTTGATAACACTTCAAAGTCTTGGCAGTTTTATATCTGAATCAAAGTAGTCAAGCATGTCAGTGTCCTGCTACTGTTGCTTTGAACATGCAGCTACCAAGAGAGTGACCAGAACTCCATGGGTGACAGCCAATATGCAGACATGGGCTTCCACATCATTTGTGCCCTGGACTCAGACCAGTGATGAGAAAAAACCTGGAGGGCCTCCCTGGGAAACTCATTCCTCCACACCAATATCTCCAGGGACCAAGGAAGCCATGAACACCATCAGCCTTTTGGGACTGCCTGCTGGGATAATGGCCACGCCTGGCAGCCCATCTCAGATCAGCCCAACCTCTGGTAAGACAGGATGCTCACTTCTATCCTGCCCTTTTAAATCAAATTTAGTATTGTCTGATTTAAAAGCCTATGTAAATTTGTAAAATATAACACATGTGGAAAAGTCTTAAGACATAAGCAACATGATGAATGCTCATAAAGCAAACTCTTTCCTTCTTTCCTTTACCCTAACCCTTTCTTCCCAACTTTGAATGAATGAAAGCTCCTATTTGATGGGACTCTCCCTTTTCTTCTCTTATGCAAACCTACTCCCTAGTTTCTTCTCCTTTTTCCTGTTTCATGTCCATTAAACAAGTGACCCCTAGAAGTAGACATTGTTCACTCAAGACAGTTCAGTTGCCTTCAAGGCCTGGTATTAATATGTATTAATATAATTCCATTAATTAGATATACATTATGTATATACAATGTTACATAACATGCCCTAGTTACTTTTACAAATATTACATATACAGTAGTGTATAATCAGGTAATGAGAAAAGCCTGAGCTCTAAAAAGCAAGAGAAAAATTGGAGAGGGTGATTCCAATTTTGTGTGTGTGTGTATGTATTTGTGTGTGTACATGCATGTGTGTATATAATAAATATATAAACAAGAGAAAGCAAAGCAAAATAAGACTGGAAAGAAATTCACAACACATTAACCATATATCTAACCTTATAGTTCCCAGACTATAACCGGGAAATAGAGTCATACTGATTTTAATTTTCTTTGCTCCAGCTTCATGAAATTTTTATATTTTCTACTTATAATCAGACAAAAGCTTTATTCTTTTTAAAAATCACTTCCTCTGATACCTGAAATCTGGCCAGAAGTCCCTCTTCCATGCTTACCAAGTCCATGGAGGTCAACAGATAGCAACACTCTTCATCGCTGTTCTGCTAGTATACACAGACTTGACTTTCTTCCCCTCTGGGCTGTGTTCTCCTTAAGGGCTTATGTCTTTAACTTCAAGTTTCTGTGAAACAGTGAACATCCAGTAAGAGTTTGTGAAGTTACTGAATTGCTTAAGGAATAACAGGAGAAGAGTAAATGAATTTTAACAAACACAAATGCAACGTCTTTACTTCCGGCTCAAAATCTCAATTGCACAAACAGGTTTGGATATGCCATTTTGATAACTTTAACTATAAAAAATACCTCAGATGAGACACTATGTGTAGGAAAAGTTAAGGTGATTTTGCTTTGTCTTGGCCAGCTGTACAACAGTAACCAACACATCCCCAAGACTATGAAGCTTTGATCTCTATTTCAGACATAGTTGGGTTAAAATCTTGACCCAACCACTTACTCTGTTTCCTTAGGTAATTTCTTTGACTCCTCTGAGTCATGGAGCTTTCAGGGTTGCTGTGATGACTAAATTAGACAGCGTCTATAAGGCATTTGGCTCAGCACACAGTATCTTGAAAGCACTCAGTCGATGACAACTCCTCATAACTTGGCATTGCTGCCAGCTGCAGGAGACACACTTTGGGAAGGGTGATGACCAGCAGGACTCCCTCCAGTGAAGAGCATGCGTCTGCTTTTACCCTAGGTCACTAACCCTCTGAGACTCTGAGAACAAGTGAACTCTGTATTTGGGTATGGCTAAGGTTGCTCAACTTCCAGAACAACATAGAAACTCATCTGGGCAGCAAGCATCAGTGCTGGGAGCTTACAGCCCAATGTCTGAAGGGAAATCCAGAGAAGATGCTGATCCAACCTAAAAAACTAACCCCTTCTGCCCATCGCCATTGTGTGTAAATGTATCAGGTGCTTATCTCTAGCACTAAGGCAGCTGTCCACAGGAGCAGAAGCCATGTTGAATTGGACACTGCAACACTCACAGTCCTAGCAGAGGAGCAGAACAAGTAACGAGCAGTGTTACAACTGTGTGGGATTGAGCCTACGCTCTTGCCCTGACTGATACTCAGTCTCACCTCACCCCTCCACCTTCATCCTCTGGACTCCAGCCATAGTGAGCAGTTTCCTGCTCATGTCTCTTGGTCTTTGCATATGTGCTTTGCTCTGCCTGGAAGTCCCGTTATCCTCACTATCTGCGTGTGACTTGTTTTAGAGTAGATCTTACCTGCCCGGGCTGAATGGGTGTCCATCCTCCATGTTCAGGCTGCCCCTCAGTTTCACTCCTTTCTTTCCACTTATCCACACACGGGAAATTGCCAGCTTGAGTTTCTCTTTCCCTCTTCCCCTAGAAGAAGGCTGCATTGATGATTTTGTCAGAGGCTGGAATCTTTACAGCAAGGATAAAGTCCTCAAGTGGCCCTTACACTCAGGTTTAACAAACATGATAAAAAGAATCGTTGACCTGAGACTATGCACTATCATGAAACTGACAGGCAATTTATTGGGGGTGGGATGGAGTTGATGTGTACGTGGAGACTCAGATGATTGAAAAGCAAAGCATTTTCTCTTTGTCCAGGAGCACCCGTGTTGGACATTTCCCATTCAACACCATCACTTTCCACACCCTGTCATCATCTCTTACCAATATTAGCTGGTTTCTAATGTTATGGTCGGATTGCAAGAAAACAGTCTCCAATGTGCAGAGGGCCAAATTATGAATCCTTTAATAGCTGGTGGTTGACAGGGGCTAGTGCCAGAAAGATCTCTCGACCCTGAGTGAAGCAGGCAAAGAGTTTATAAAGGCAAAAACCACAAGTGGGCTACATAGCATGGGGTAGGAGAATAACGAACCAAAAACAAAAGGGAATAAAACATGAGGATGTGGCAGTGGGGACTTTGCAAAGAACAATCCTTTGGACAATTGCACTGAATTTTTGACTAAGGAGTTTTCTAAAGCTCCGGGGGAACAAAGATGTAGGTCTGTGATCATGAGAAAGTTACAACAGTCTCACGTTGGAGGGACTACATCTGGCTAAACAAGCAGCTAAGATGGAGGATTTTTAACAAAATGACATTACCTATGCCAAGCAAGCTATTACAGGCTATTATAGGTGTTACAGATATTTCACTAACGGCACCCATCATGCTGTACTACAGTTACTGATGGGACTTGTCCACTTGCTCTTCACAGTGGACAGGAGCACCTCCATGGGTTCTATTTCTTACTCAGCTCTGCTCTCTCACCACCCTGCCTGGCACCTGCCTTAACCAACATCAGTTGGATAGGGAAGGACTGGTGGCACAGGGCCTCTTCTCCCGATTAGGTCCCCCTAGAAGAGATGCAGGCTCACCTTCTCTCATCTCATCCCAGGAGCATTCACCACTGGCACACAGACTCAGAGTCCAACCAAGGCACCAGCCCCCAAAGACCCACAGACAGGTAAGAAGGCACTGCTGGAAAGAGGAATTCAACACCATAAGGAAAACATTGCTTAGGTTCAGGATCACGGTGGGATGGGGTGCCAGAGTCAGGAGAATGGTTTATGAGCCTTGCTGTGCTGCCAAATTGCTGTGGGAGCTTGGATAAATCACTCCCCCTTTCTTGGCTACCATTTCCCTATAGATTTTGAGGATGCTTTATGCTTAAGATGTTATGATTCTTTGACTGTGTATATCGCCCAAAGTCATTTCATTTTAACTTTTGGAAGGTCCTTCTTGCCCTTTGCAGGTGATCTTCCTGCAGAGTGGCCATTCACTCCCAGAGAAGAACCAGCACTGATCCCAAGACCCCACCAAGTTTCGAGTGAGTACCCACATCCAGTCACTTCTATTGCTTGTGTTTATTGTGACCGATGTTGTGTAGTAGAATAAAGAGAGGTGTGTTTGATACATTTAAAGTCAGGCTGCTGAGATCAGATCTCAGTTCAACTGTTTACTGATGAGGTGGCCTCTGACACTCAGCTTCCAGGATTTGGTTCCCTCAGTTGTAAAGCAAGAATAACCACAATTATTGTGGCCATTAAAATGCCTGTTATTTTTTTCTTTCCCACAGGGTTTTGTACTAAGTAAGATAATGTGTGTAGATGAGGTTTGTAACTATAGAGCTCTCTAGAACTTAATTCAGTCGAGGTCTATTGAGTGAATGTCTATTCAGCAGTGTGCTGGGCACTTTGCAAATGGAGGTTTCTCTTATAATGAGCAGAATTGTTAGCAAAGAGAGAGGAAGAAATAAAAGCCAATTCCAAAATGCACCCCATTCTGTGTTAAAGGACACCCACCCCTTTCCATCCCTGCACACTTCAGTTTCATGAATCTAGAGACAAATCATTTCCTGGGCCTGTACCTGGGTTTTCAAAACTCCTGACAGAGGACTTGAGTTTCTGTGGTTTTTGCTACATTTTCCAAGCTTTTCAGTCTCACTCTCCTCTTTTCTGTTGAGCCAGTTTCCATAAGAAGCTGACAAGAAGTGAGTCCTTCAAAGTTGGTAAAGTTCCCAGACTCCTCCTACTCCTGGCTGCCTTTATAGACTAGCTCCAGGACCATCCACTCATATGTCAACAGGGCATTATTAAACAGCTGGTGACTGCCCTGTATTCTCTTTCAAATCACCTCAAATCTGTCTCAGCCCCACTATCAACCTGCAGTGAATGCTGAATGGGCCTTTCTGACACAAAGATGTGATTATGCTACCAAAGGAAATTATATCCCTTTTTCCCAGGAGTTCTAAAGAAACAAACTGGGGGTGCAGGTGGGGACAGTTGTCAGACTGAGTTTTAGAAAACAAGTTAACTATATCTATATCTGTATCTATATCCATTTATATCTAGTTATATCTATGTAACTAGTTATTTCTATCTATTCTATTTATACATCTCTCTAATAAGAATTTATCATATCTATCTCTCCATTTACTCATCCACCCACCCATCTAGCTATATATCTACTTACCTACTTAATAAGATATTTATCATATCTGTCTATTCATCCATCTATCCATTCATTCCATCTACCTATCCTTCCTCTATCTATCATCTATCTTTCTATCTAGTTATCTCCATTATGTCTGTGTAATCTCTCTAGACATCTATCTATCTAACTATCTGTCATCTATCTGTATATGTAATGAGAAATATAATTACTAAATAAAGGGATTCTGGCATCTTCCAGTAAGTTATTCTGCTCATCTGTACACACACACAAAAGCATGCCACAAAACCTATGACATTTTATTTATTCATTTACTAAATATTCATTAAGCTCCTACAGTGAAGCTAAATTCTTCTTGGTAGGTAATGTAATCTTCATTAAGCAATTCTGGTGAGTTATACAGATGAAAGGAGACTAAGTTTTGAGCTCAGATCTAATTCTAAAGCTTGTGCTAATCATTACCCCTCTTTGCAGTACCTCTCCCAAGATGGTCTCCATGTGCAAAAAACGCTGCAATTTAAGGAAGAAAGTGGAAATATTATTAAGAGAAAAAGCAGTAAATGCTATGTGCATCCAGAAAGGAAGAGGTTGCTTTTAACTGGGGAATGGGAGGAGGGAGATAATCTAAGAGTTGATTGATTGAGAAAGTGGCATCTGAACGAGTTGAGCGAGGTTGTCGCTAAACATGCCTTCTGAGTAGAAGTATGGCTTAAACAAGGACACTTCGGCACAAAAGGATTAATGTTTCTCAGAGGCTTAGAACATCCTGTGTGGCTGGAATTCTGGTGCCAAAGTTGAGAGTAGTGTGAAATGAGGCTAAAGGTTGGCAAGAATGAGATCACGAGGACCTTGTCGCATGTCAAGGATTGCGAACCTCTTCTGAGGCGAGTGAGGGTGACACAATCAGCTTTGTGTTGCAGAAAGCTATCTCTGACTGCAGAGTGGAGATTGAGAGAGGAGACTTGGAGCAAGGAAACTGGTGAGGAGACTGCTGTGCTAATGACAGTCAGCGGTGCCAGCAGCTGGAATCGGGAGGTGACAGTGTGGATAGGGAGACTTGGGTGATATTTAGGTGACGGAACCAAGATGCGATGATGATGGAGTGAGCATGGGAAGAAAGAAAAAATCATGTCCAAGTCTGGGCAACTGAATGGATTTCCTGAGTGTCATTGCCTGAATTAAAGAAGCATGGATGAGGTGGGGCAGGGGAAAGGGGGCATGGAAATTAAGCCTTAGGAATGGCACCTGTGTTCAGGTCATGAAATGTGGTGGCTATGAGCACAGATTTGAGTCAGCTCGTGCCACAGTCACTCCTTTCTGTGTGACTGATGCCACTGCAGAATCACTCAGACCCTCAGTACCCTAGTCTATATACTTTGGATATCTACTCCCAGAAGATTGTATAGAGATTAAATGAAATAAGGTATGCAAAGAACTTAGGAAAGGGCCAGACACATAGCAGGTGCTCAAGGAAATTTAGCGAAAAAGTCATGTCACATTGATGGAAATTTATCAGTGTTCTGAGAGATTTAATGTTCTAGTTGATTCAAGATAAAATATTTTCTTTCTACTTAAAAAAAAATCTTCCTAACATGCTACTTCAATCCACTTCAATACATATATTACTGCTAAATTGCTATTTTCAAAAATGCAACAGCATGACTCATAAAAATATTAAATGAACACGTCAATGTGTCAAAGATGTTATTCAATTCACTAATTGATGAGGAAATCAGAAAGATATAAAGACTGGTTCAGCGGAGAATTTGAGAACCAAGGATTTATGTAGCCAGTCAAGGGAATTCTAAAATAAATTTGCTAACTAATATCTTGCAGCAATAAACTCTTTTTTTTTTAACTGGACAAAAATTCATTACACTTCAATCAGACAAAATTCACTTATCTTGCCACGGACAGAAATCACTTGCATTGCTCTCAGACAATAATCATTTATATTGTTCTCAGTTAACCTCTACCCCTTCAGGGTTGTAAAATCACCCATTCAATAAAAATCAATTCATGGTGCACACCCCTATTTACCCAGATGATCCCCAAAGAGTCTGCCAAACAGTAATCAAAACTCCACTAAAAAGATACCCAGTATTCCTTTTTACTTATTTTCAGGTTCTAGACCATTTTTCTTGATATTAATTATGAATCTTTATTGGAAAATTATTAGTAATATTGTAATATAATCTTCCAGTCTCCAGAAGGTAATCTGTATGAGAAGAGCACTCTTTTCCTTCTTATTCACTGTTGTAATTCTAGTGTCATCAGTGCCTGGCATGTAGTGGATACTGAATAACTTTTTAATAAATAAATTAGTAAGAATAAGAGCTATTATTTATTGTTCATTTCATGGCAGGAATTTTGCAATGTGCTTTGTGTAAATTATTTCATATAATCCTCTCAGTCACGCTGTATGACAGGGTAGGTTCTCTTTATTTCTCATATAAAGAAACACAGGTATAGCCAATCTCAGAAGAGCCAAAGTAGATAGAATTTTTAAAAACCTATTATCACATGCATGTTTATTGCAGCACTATTCACAATAGTAAAAACATGGAAACAACCTTGCTGCCCATCGAAACTGGACTGGATTTTAAAAATGTGGTACATATACACAATGGAATATTATGCAGCCATAAAGAAAGACAAGCATGGACTTCACAGCAACTTGGATGGATTTAGAGTCAATCGTACTCAGTGATCTATCATAGAAACAAAGAACTGAGTACCACATGTTCTCACTCATAAGCAGACCCTGAACATTTACCATAATACTATAAGCAAGGGATTGGCAGTAGCAGGATACTGCTGGGGTGGGGATAGGCTGTGGGACGCAACATCAGTAAGGATGCCTGATCTCAAATCAGGCAAAGTGGGGACCAAAGGGAGGCCCGAATTTTACCTGTATAATGCCCATTTGTATACCTAATCCTGAATTGTACACTATATCTTTAAAATAAAAAATATTTTAAAAAAATCTATTATCTTCTTCTTGTATCATTTACCTTTTTTTCTCCTAAATACTACAAATTAAACTTTAATGAAAATCTGGCTCACTGAAACAGAATTAATCTTCAACTTGTGAAGATAGAAAACTTTCAAACTAAGAGCCTGGTTCTCCAGTAACCCAGCATGCTGGTCTCATCTTTCCACCTGCACGCATACACACACACACACACACACACACACACACACACACACACACACACACGCACATACACACACATGTTAACACATACACAAATAGGTTTTCACACACACAAGCAAATTCACACACACACACACGAACACACTCACATACCTCATGCCTTCTCAACTCAAATTATTCTCCATTTTCCCCTCAACAAGTCATCCCCCCACATGTTTTGAGTCATTGAACACTCTGCCCCTTACACCAGAAGTGCCCTCCACTTGATGTGTTTCTGTTCATCATTTTAGATCACTGTTTAATATTTGCTCCTCAGTGAAGCTGTCTCTGATTTTCTCCAGGAACTTGATCCCCACCTTCTCTCTACCTATCTCTTGAAACTCTCACAGTAGCTCTATTGGCTAATGGTGAATCAACACTTGTTTACCTGTCTGTCTCAGAGGAATCTGAGATCAGGATAAGATTTATTCATCTGGCGCAGGGGTTGGCAAAGGGAAGATGTTTGTTAAACTCTCACTAATTTGACTTGTCTGGGATTGCATCCTCTAGGATGTCCTCACCCACTCCTCAAAGAAGGGGCCATGGAAGTTGCTCCTCTCACCCTGGCTATCCAGAAACTCAACCCGTGCTTGATGGAGCTGTGCCGTTTTTTCCAGCAATGCCTCTGCATGAGCCAGAGGAATCCCAGGACGGGGGCTGTGAGGTAATCTGACCCAGTTGTTGCTTTTCACATCCAATATTTATAATTTTCGTTTTCTGTGCGGCTTTTTGCAGGCCACAAGGTAGGCAAGCATTAAATCACAGATAGATGACATGGGGTACCTCAAGAAAGGACTTTCAGTGAATCCCTTAAGTAGAGAGCCACACCCTTGATAGGTACATGGAACCACATTCATATCTGGGTACCCAGAACCAAGGGAAAGGCCTGACACAATATGTATAACTGAGTTTATTTGGAGTTGAGTTGAGCTGAACTGAGCTGAGTTGTGTTGAAATGAGTTAAGTTGTGTTGAGTGAATATGAGAGGAATTGAGTTGCATTGAGTTGATGTGAGTTGAGCTATGTTGAGTTGTGCTGCATTGAGTTGAGCTGACATGAGTTAAGCTGTGTTGAATTGTGTTCCATTGAACTGAGTTGTGTCATGTCAAGTCGAATTACTACAGAGGACTCTGCGTGGTCCTTGAACTCCAATGCTCTCAGCCTGGCAAAATTTGCTAGAAAAGAATAATCAGAGGATGTGTCTGTCTAAATTCTAGTTCTTTCATAAATGTCTAGCAATCATACATCAGTCAAATGAGATTGTTGTCAAAACAAAATTAGAAGGCAGACCTTGCTTTATATTAAGAGATTTAGGTACGGACATTCTTTTTTCTTCCGGCAATGTTGACATACTATTCTTTCTTCTGGAGTATATTCTCAACTGTGAACCCAGAACCAAATAATGTAGATGAATATCCCTGCTCCAATGATCTGGGAACCAATCTGTCAGCCATTTAATGTTATTTTCAAAGTCTACTCACAAGATCCATCAGTTTTTGAAATCTCCATTATCTACTGCATGTGAATCTCAAACCCAAGTGTGAAGCTTTTTCCTGTCACCACTTTCTGACCCTGATGTTGGATCCCTCAGTCAGTGTGGACATTTCTTTCACTCAGAGAGGGCAGTGAGCAAGACCCATAGACCCATCACCCAGGGTGATCTTAAAGAAGAGAAAACTCTCACAGAAACACTTTCTATATTGTTTAGGATAAATCCACTTTATTAGACCCTTTACTCACTAACTCTTTGAATCAACAATATGTATTGAGCCTCTACTATATATCAGTGATGGATTGTGCTAAACCACAGGGATAGAGACATAAATTAGTAACGGAGGATTCCATAGCTGAGAGGAAGAAATGGTCGTAAGCACAAATTTAAATATAGCATAATAGGTGAAAGAATCAAGCCCTTCACCCAGGCAAAAACCTGCTATTCATATCCTCCTTGGAAAATATCACATTTGAAAACATCCACATTGCAGATATCAGCAGAATGTATAAATAGAAAAGGCATACGCTTTCAGAGAGAAGTTTGGGTCTAAATTCAGAGCACTAAAGCATCTGTTTAACTGGACTTGTCCGTGTATTTTCACTGAATAGCGAATTGTTTCAAAACTCATACACTAAATATAGGTCAAAAATACCAGAGTGGGAGGGCAGTATTACTCAGTATGTTTGTTGAATAACACAGAATCTGCAATTTAAAAAAACACAATTTAGTGGGGAAGTTGGCAATGTAAAGAGACAAAATTCAAAGCGGCTAACAAGTGATACAGCAAATCCTGAATACCATGCTGTGAACATCCCAGAGGAAATAACTAATAGGGTTTGCTGAAGGAATAGGAGTTTTCCAGGCAGAAAACAAGAAAGGCGATTCCAGGCAAAAGTAACAGCATGTGCAAAGATGAAATGACAGACAGCCTGGAGCATCTTAGGACCACTGAAGTGCTCAGTGTAGTTGCAGTGAAGACAGAAGACCACTGTCTCTGGCTTTTGTCCCTACTCAGAGCCACCTTGCCCTTTCAAGCACCTGGCTTACATCTTACAAATAAGTTCTTTTTTATGTTTGCAATAGAGATCTAGCTATCCCTCCAAACTTTCTAGTCCCTCTTCAGAAGAAAAAATATATATATATAACTCGCCCTGTTCTATTATTAAACTGAGGCACCCTAACTTCTCTTTCTCTGCACATCATCTCCTTCCCATGGTCATCTCTTGAAAATTGTCTTATTTAGGGTCTCCAGCACCATCCTTGGGACACACCCTCTCTCCTTGCAAAATGACAGTCTTTTCTCTCCTGGTGTCTTATAAACTTTGTTGCCTCAAGCCTCAGACAAAGGTCCATGGCTCCTGCTCAGTCCAGGCTATTACTGACTTCACACTGGGGACTAGGGTTCTGGTCTGGCGCAAGTGACTGGTATAATAGCAGGTGCTCAACACTAGTTTCAACTCCTCTTAACCATGGGCATTGCAACTGACTTCTGCCCTGAAAACAAGCACAGCAGGTCACCTTAACAGCTGATCTTCTTCTAAGACCACCCAATCTTTTCTGCATGAGAAATGCCTTCCCCAGTCTATGTGAGGAATCATTATTCTTGTTATTAATAAGACTTTGACTCCATTCCTTCCAAAATAATAACCATGACCGTTTGTCTGTTGTTCATTCACTTCTCCGTGTTTCCTGGAAGATGCCTCTGTGAGAGAACTTAGGGGTGAACCACACCATGATTAAGTAGTTTCTCTCCTGATCACAGTCATTCAGCCCGTAAGCCATGACCTCTGGCGGAGTAAATTAAGGCACAGAATGGAAGCTTTTTGGCTTGTGAAGGGTTATATTTCTGTGGTTGCTGCCATGTCAGTCTTGGTCTCAGGCTTTGAAAATTCACAGAGCACCTTATTTTGGCCCGTGTTTGTCTCCATGTAGTAATATCAGGTTCTAAAATAGATAATTTCCCCAGATAGTTTTATATCCTCTGTTGTTAGAAGCTAGCTAAGAATTTTTGCCATTGTTGTTAGGAAACATGCCTTGCACATTGTCAAACCAGTTGAGGAGGAATGGGATTAGACCATAGAACCATGGCCCCCAAAGCTAGTAGGCAGCTTAGTGTGCTATATGAAGGATGGGGTGCAAAGCCAGGCCGACCTGGATTTAAATTTAGGCTCTGTCACTGACCAACCTGTGTGGTCTTGAGCTAGTCATTTACTCTCTCTGAATCTCAGGTTGTTTATCTAAAAAATGGGTATAGCCCTGCCTACATTCTTGACCACATATTGCATAATTCCTGGAGCACCATTCCCATAAAAGGGCAGAATCATGCTTGCCTATATTGACAGTGCTGTGAGAACAAAATGAAATGAAATGAAATAATATACCAAACTATTCTTCCACAGTCCCTGGAAGTTTCCACCTCATGCTTTCTGATGAAGACATGGTTATGGTTGCTCCCTAATGACCATTTCAGCAGTTGAGCTGACCAAGCTTGATCTCCTATCTCTGATGCTTTTGAGAGGGTTCCTGAAGTGTGTGGGGTCGCAGGCTCACGGGAAAAGCAGCCTGGTTGGGCTCATCATTTATCTCTTCACTTCCAGATCCACTTCCTACTCTTCCTCTAGTCTGCTCTGCAATGAAGAAGGCCAACTTGTGCAATACACTTCCCAGAACTCCTTGCCAACCAGCTTCATGTTAGTTTATCCCATAGAAGACATTGGTACATGATTGGACGGCAGGAGAGGGGAGAAGCTAAGGAATGTTTCCCTCTTCCTTTCTGTTTTGGACACTATTTCCAGAAATGACTCTATCTCCTTTGGGTTTCCAGCTTTCACAAGAAATCCTCACATCAGCCCCAGCTCTGTGGACCCAGCTGCCACCAGAAGCCACTGCCTTCTGTGCTCTGGCAGCAATACATCCTCCTTCTGTCCCTTCAGACCCAGCCACTCCCTGCAGCAGTTAGTTCTTTCAACTCTCCTAACCCTTTTATGACTAATGCACGGTATTAAAGTCCCTCTATAGAATCACCTGGGTTCTGTTTTCCCTGGCAGTGTCCTAACCCAAATATTGGTCTTACTTCCTATTAGAACGGCAGTGTGTTCTGGCATGGAGTGGGTTACCTGGATTAGAATCCTGCACTACCACTTGAGATCAGGGTACCCTCGGGCAAGTCAGTTAATCTCTGGGTCTGAGTTTCTTCTGTTTCACGGTTTCCTGCAAACTGGGGGTGATAGCATCCAGGAAACACCATGAGTTTTACTTGAAGGTTAGTTGCACAACTCCCTAGAGCATGCTAGAATCATAGAAAGTTCAAAGTGGAGCAGAAATGAGGGAATGTTTAGCTCAACCTCTTCGTGTATCAGATGACGGATTGAAAGGAAAGTGAATTCCTAGAGTGATACAGTGAGTCACTGGCACAGCCAGAACTGCAGACTCTTCTTTCTAGTAATGTGATTAGTAATCTTTCATCACAGCCCTTTGAAGCAATTCATGTTGCCCCTGAATCAGAGCAGAATATTATTTTGCAAAGTGTGTGCTACATAGTTAACAATAGCTGCACTCCACTCTCTTTCTCCACCTTCCATGAAAAACAAACAAACAAACAAACGAATGAGCTCCTATTATATGCTGGGCACTGTTCAGGAGCTTTCCATAAGCTATATTATTTAATCCTTACATAACCTGCGAGTGTAAGTTCTATTATTGTCTTTCATTTATATAGGAAGAAATGAAAGTCCAGAGAGTTAAGTTATCAGCCTGAAGTCATGCATTCTAGTAAGCAGTGGGGCTAGGACTAAAAGTAAGTTTTGTTGACTCCAAAGTCTGAGCTCTTCTCTGACACCCTATAAAGATGGTCCAGGATTCCTTGCTGTAAAGAATTAGCCATACACTTATTATAGTTATGTGCTTACTTTAAAAATTCTGACTGTAGAGCTACTCCCTGGGGTCCCCTCCAGCTGCGGGAGTTCTGTCTTCTCAGTAAACACTGCTTTCTTTAAAAAAAATTCTGATTGTCTTCTTTTTTTTTTTTAAGTGAGAAATCCAGATTTATTGAGAGGACAGAAAAGCTCCCACAGAGGGAGGGGACCCGAAGGGGTTTCCTCGTCTTCTAATAGCCATCACAGGGTAGTGATGGCTCCCAACTCTTATTTAAATTTTTAGGTACTGTCTTGAATACTATTCCTGGTTTCTGAAGAATGCAACCTATATCTGTCAGAGGGTGAAAAGGTTGTCGCACTCACACAGTAAGTACACAGCTTGACTGTGTTGCAGCTTTGCAGTGAATGCGTTCTATGAGGGGCTTCTGAATGATTTCCTTGCCATAGCAGGAGGTCCTAGGAGTGCTGTAGTTCATCTAGTCATTAATTCTAGACAAAGAGAGTTTACGGTATTTCTGATTCCCCTTCAACTAACAGTTTGATGCCTGCAGTAAGTGTAGATAAAACAAACAACCACAACAAAACCAGGAGTTGGCCTGACCAAGCATTGTTGCTCTCTTTCTGAATTTAAGCAAGTCTCTTAGCCTCTGAGTCCCCATGTAAGTTGAACAAACAAACAGGCTGGGTGCGGTGGCTCATGTCTATAATCCCAGCACTTTGGGAGGCCAAGATGAGAGGATGGCCTGAGCCCACAGGTTCGAGCCCAGCCTGGACAACTTGGTGAGACCTCGTCTCTACAACGAATCAAAAAATTAGCCAGGCATGGTGGTATATACCTGTAATTCCAGTGAATTGGAAGCATGAGGTGGAAGAATCACCTGAGCCCAGCAAATTGAGGCATGCCACTGCACTTCAGTCTGGGATATAGAGTGAGACTCTGACTTAAATACAAACAAACAAAAATAAAACAGCAGATGCATTCCATATAAACACTGAAATTCCTGACCAAAGAAAATTGTATGCAAATTATTCAAGGAAAAGAAGACAGCATGGAGTACTAGAAATGAAGTATATGGTTCCTGTCTCCTTGTCCTGGTAGCTTCAAAGCTTCATTTACACCCAAATATGTGGGTAGCAGCTTTGTTTATTTTTCTCCCACTTCTGTAAACAAAAGTGAGTGGTCTGGTCTCTCTGATGCCAAAACCAATGGCTTGGTCATTTTATCATGCCATCAACCCAGATTATCTGATCAAGGAACTCTGCTCTTCTAAAAATCATGGAACTATATCAAACTGTGAAAAATTTCTGCTTAGCATAACCTGAATATAAGCTGAGTGTTCATGTGGTCCAGTCTTGGCAATGTTTTACATTTACACAAGCAAACAAACAAAACAGTGTAGTCACCCAATTTTTCTTTATAGCTTTGAAGGAGCATCAGATGGGGTCCATGTTAACACTTCCTAGGCACTCTTTTTATTCTTTTTCACCCATTATCTCTCACATCTTGCAAGCCACCATCTCCAAGCCTCTCTTTCTGCTTCATTTTCCAACTTATCACTCAATAACTCCTGAAATCAAGTTCTCTGGCTCTTCTCCTGGTGTCCATCTACCTCCACTTCTTACTTTGCTTTGCTTCTGCCTCTTCTCTCTCAAACACAGGTTCTTCATTTCTGATGCAAATCCACCATCTCACTTTTCCTGTGTTCTCTTTCTACTACCATCTTCATTCAGCATTGAAAAAAAAGACAAGTATTAGGAAATTAGGAATGGGGAGTTCAGAACTCAAAGACAGAACTTCCTCTATCTGATGTGGGGAAGGGAATAGGAAGACTTGGAAACACCTATCTTGATAGTTCTTCTTTTGTTCCTTGTCACATTAGAATCTACACACACACAACATATTACATTTACCGAACAACGTATTAATGAGTTTAAATTAGCATCATGCATGCTAGGGAGATGATTTACATACAGTTGGGTGTTGGAAAAGAGTCCTGGGCAGAGAGTAGAGAAATGGAGTAGAGCTGCTCCTTACTCAACTTTGCTGCTAATGGGCCAGGGGTTTTGCATGAATATTTTCCACACTTTGACACTGACTCCAAGTGACTCCTTGTCCTGCACTTGCCTTCTGGAAGAGCCTAGACCATCACTGGTGCTGCCAGAGGTGAACTTATGTCTCTATAGTGTTTTCGTCTTAGTACCGTTTCTTCTTTTTCTTTTCTTTCTTTCTTTTTCAGCCTTAAAGCAAAAATGCCTTGAGAATATCTGCAAGTCTGTGTGAGGCCTTGAAAATAACACTAGGGCCTAGACAATGACTTCGGGGGATATCTCATCACCCTGGCTCTCATGCCAAATGGGCTACATTTGCAGAATTCATTCAAGCTCCAACTAGAACACCAATGAATGGAAAATGGCTATTTTTGAAGCATCTTTTTTTTTCTCTCCTGTGAATCTGTGTAAGATATTGAAGATAGAAGGCCCATGTTAAAGACCTCACAATGCAGTGATACTGGACTCCCCTGGCTGCTTCAAAGTCATCAAAACTTAGTATCAATGCTCAAAAATCTCCTACAATGCTTGTAGCAGTGCTGATAAGTTAAGAATTGAGAATGGGTGGGCACACAGGTTTGAACAAACCAATTCAGGCACAGAGATCCTGATATAATACCTGAGATAAATCTGAGACTTTCAGAAGACAACAGAAGGATGAATTAAGAAAGACTGGTTCTATACTCTGTAGAGATTCACATATAATTTTTATTTTTCTAATAACTTTTCTATACAGTTAGCTAAAAATTAATTGCATACAACCAATCAGACTTGCCATATTGTGAAATAATCTTCCAAGCCCCCTTTAAAACTTTTTCATCAAGAGGTTTACAGTACAGTTTTTTTTATTGATCTCTTGTCTGGATTCCTCTTTTGTGTGCCTCACAGTATTCAGGGGTCCCCGAGAACACTCTCAGTCTCCATGATTCACTAGTAGGACTCACAGAGCTCAGCAAAAATGGTTATATTCCCATTTACCATTTATTACAGAAAAACATTAGCAAGGGCCAAAGGCACACTAAAGCAGTGTCCAGAAGAGCCCCAGCACAAACTTCCAGCTTTCTTCCTCGAGTGGTCTTGCACAGTTAACAAACTTCTCAGCAATGATGTATAACAAAACATAGAGAGTGTTGTCCACCAGAGATACTTATCTGAGTTTTTATTGGGGATCAGACAGGTAGGTCTAGTGTACCTGCATGGCTGAACTTAGTTACTCAGTCTCCAGTCCCTCCAGAGATCAAATTGATACTGCAGGACTTAAGGCCTCACCATAAATCATGTTAGCATAAACTATCCGTCTGGTCCAAAGTTTCAGGTATACAGAGATACTCATCAGGAAGGATATTCCAAGGGTTTGGAGGTGATGCCCCAGGACCTGGTCAAGGGCCAGACCTTTCTTTGGAAGGTGCAGAGTTTGAACTCCATACTACTGCCCAGTCAACTCTTAACTATACATCCACATGCTGATAGGGTCCCTTTATTGTGTCAGGTCCCTTTTAAATTATTTCCAGCTTTGAAGTTGCTCCAATATCCCTGTAAATGTTGAATCTCTATGCAAAGCATTACTAAACAAGTTTGCTCTCCCCAATGCTCCTACGCAGACCCCTTTTAACCTCAGTACCAGGGACAGCTTTCCTTCTGGTGCCTGGTGACTTCTTTTCATGCTCTCACCTTAGAACTCTGCCCAGTCACTGGTTTTCCATCCCTTTGTGATCTATGGCTGCCCTTTGGGGAGGAAAGTCAATTTTTGTTGATGATCTAAGTACCAAAATAGTTTCTTCCATTGGAAAACACTTTAGTGCCCTGGCACTGCCTGCGAACAACGAGGTACTTGGGGAGGTAGAACTTGAACTTCGGGGAGGGGAACTGTCAGACACTTCTCTGGCTAGTCATACACAGAAAGATTTCTTTCAAATCTTCAGAACACTAGAGAGACCCTCAAAGGTATGCAAATATCAAGCTCATAAATACCTGTTATAAGTATGGGTTTGATTTAACTGAACCCTAAAGACTTTTGGCAGGAAAAGATCTCCAGGTTCTCCTGAGAGTAGCTTAATATCAGGGAAGGGCAAGGATGAATTGATGGCTTGGGCCCCAGACCAGGGCTGTTCACTTACAGGGAAAACCAGTGTGGACTCAGCCACCCTGTACTTTGGGAATAATAACTGAGCTTGACTACAACCTTTCAGAAGCTCAAATGGGGAGTACCTCTGAGGCCTGCATAGGGATGTGTCCTATTGTCAAGGACAAGGGCTCAGAGGACCATATGGGGCCAGCTATCTACAGTCACACCATCTGCTATAACAGCTGCAATGGCAGAAAAAAAAAACAGGACCCAGGAATGACTGACCAGTCCTGGGAGCCCACAGGTCTCCTGAAGCTTAAGGGAGCGAAATCAGTCCTGATGTAGGGGATGGTTGGGGCAAGGAGGAGGCCTCCAGGGGTGTTGCTGATCTGGAATTCCTACCAACTGGTTCACTGATGAGGTTAAACAAGATGGGACTGTTATTGTACCCAAGTTGAAGGAGATTGTGTAGTCACACGTGTAACATCATTAAACTGAATTCTTCCTGACCGCAAAGGTGCAACTGCATTTATATTTCATGTATACCCCCACAACAAGTTAAGTTGGCAAGAGACAGAGAGGGAGGGAAGGAGAGAGGGCAGGAGAAAGGAAGGAGAAGAAAGAGAGGAAGAGAAAAGAGGGGAGTGAGAGAAAGGGAGAGAAAGATTGTGTTTGTGTTTCTTGGCCCCAGTGTGTGTCTCTATGCGTTTCTAATATGCATTTATTTCCCTACGGCTGCATAAATGCACTTGTGATGTGGTTTTTGTGTGAGTGAGAAATGTAGGTGCTATTGTAATGAAATTCGCATTTTTTTTTAGTTGTAGTCTCACTCTGTTGCCCAGGCTAGAGTGCAGTGGCACGCTCACGGCCACCACAGTCTCGACCTGCTCTGCTTATGCTATCCTTCTGCCTCAGCCTTCCAAGTAGCTGGAACTACAGGCATGCGCCATACACCTGGCTAATTTTTTTTTGATTTATCGTAGAGATGATGTCTCACCGTGTTGCCCAGCGTGGTCTCGAATCCCTAGACTCAGGCAATCCTCTCACCTCAGCCCCCCAAAATGCTGGAATTGCAGGCATGAGCCACTGCACCCAACAAAATGCATGATTTTATTTTTATTTTGATTTTGAGTTGGAGTCTCACTCTGTCGCCCAGACTGGAGTGCAGTGGCCACTTCCGGTCACCGCAACCTCGACCTGCTGGGCTCCAGCGATCATTCCGCCTCAGTCTTCCAAGTAGCTGGAACTGCAGGCGTGCACTACCACTCCCGGCTAATTTTTGATTTATTGTAGAGATGAGGTCTCGCCAAGTTGCCCAGGTGGGTCTCAAACCCGCGGGCTCAGGCAATCCATTCACCTCAGTCTCCCAAAGGCGTGGGATTACAGGCTGAGTCACCGAGCCCTGTGACAAAATACACAAATTTAAATTCTCATGTAGAGCAGACCTTTTTCTCCTATATCTGAGTTCTTGTGAAAACTTCACTCTCACCAAAGATCAACAGAGAAGGAAAAGGGGGAGGTTCTAGGAATCTTGGAGGTCATCCGTTCTCAATCAGGGATGATCTGACTGCCCAGGGGACATCTGGCACTGTCTGGAGACATTTTTGGTTGTCACAGCATGGTAGAAAATGCTGCTGACATCTAGTAGGTAGAAACCTGGGATACTGTGACACACAGGACAGCTCTTACCAAAAATAACAATTTGGTTCCAAATGTCAACAATACCAAGATTAATATTCCCTATTATAGGCCATGGGAAGAAAATGAAGCTTCTCAAATCCCCACGCGATATCTAGAATAACATACCTATGCAGGCTGTAATGACGCCCAAGCACCGTGCAGTAGCTGTGCTTCTGAGATGCTCAAAAAAAGATTTTTTTTTTTAATTGAGCTGGAGTCTCACTCAGTCACCCAGACTGGAGTGCGGTGGCCGCTCCTGGCCACCGCAGCCTCGACCCGCTGGGCTCCGGCGATCCTTCCGCCTCAGCCTTCCGAGTAACCGGAATTACAGGCATGCGCTACCACGCCCGACTGATTTTTTGATTTATTGTAGAGATGAGGTCTCGCTGCCCAGGCAGGTCTCGAACCCGCGGGCTCAGGCCATCCACTCACCTCAGCCTCCCAAAGGCGCAGTATTACAGGCTGAGCCACCGAGCCCTGCTCAAAAACAGATTTTGCTACAACGAGCCAAATGTCCCCATTGACTTACTAGCTTTAGAGATGGTGGGTCTTCTGTGCTTGTGAGAACTGATGAGAAACATGGCAGCCTCCTCTCCATACACATGAGAAAAAATGGTTAAGGATCTTCAAACAGAAGCTTCAATGCCTGGGGACAACTACCCATCTGAAGAAGCCCTTCAGCAGGTCTCCCATAAAGGCTCCTCTGTGCCCTGATTAAGTCGCCTGGGCAGTCCTGCTGCTGCAGGAGGCAGTGATTGAGTGGTCAGTTCAGGGGGCTCACAGCCAGGCCAACCTGCACCCCAGAATTGATCCCATGACACGTGAGCTTCCACGGGTGCCTCAACCTCCACCACCCCATTTATTCACATCTGTAAAATGGGTCTAACACTCCTAGGGTGATGGGAACTGCTGTAGGGGTGATGAGAGCAAAATCCTATAAAACATTGATGGCACATGCCACAGGCACTCGAGGACTGTTAGTTCTTGTTAAAATCAGAAAAGAAACCACTTCACAGAGAGATATGATGAGGAGAGGGGAGAAACTAGGATTTCAAGAGGCCCCATACCATGCAGTGAACACGGCTTATGCCGTCCTCCCAGTCCTAGGAGGATTATCTCCATTTAACAGATGTGGCAGCCAGTGACAAGCTCAAGACCACATACTGCTTCTCAGTAGCAGGGGAGGCAGTGGCACTGAGGATGTCTGAGTATGCAGCACCATCTCGCCGTATCCCACAGCCTGGGCAAAAAAAAATCCCTATAGGAAAGAGGCATCATGTTCCCAGGTCTGAGGCCAAAAAACATTAAAATCACCCCAGAGATCTTCTTGCTAGGAATTAACTAGACCAGACAAAGCCAGCCCTTTTGCTCATGGGAGAGCCCAGGTGACTTTCATCAGTCTTTCATCTCCCCAGAGTCCCCCTGATGACCCTGAGACATAATCCATGGGCCTCCAAGTGTTTGAGGTGGGTGGGGTGGGGTAGAAC